CAATACATTGCAAGTCTTGTGTAGTTGTAGCGTAGTGAGACTCTTGAAGACAAAAGACTTGCATCATTTTGATTAAAATTTCATACCTATAGATTGCAATTCCAAATCTTCAGTTTCAGAATTCCAGTTTGGTAATGGAAGTATTTGTAATTGCAATAAAAACATTATTTTCCTTAAAAATGAAATTTTTCTCATTTACAAAAAAAGTTTCTTATGGACACTTATATCCTTAACCTCGCTTACCTGTGAAGAAAGGAAAGAAGAACTGAGGCTCAGTTTTAAAAGATTTGAAATGTTCTGTTTTCTACATAACTATGAAAAAATTGGTTTAAAAACCATTGATCAAATCCTGATCTAATAGAGTTAGGCCAGACTTTCAATGAAATGATGGTATCCTATCGGTTATGTAACAACATATGAAGAAAGTAAAAGTAGACTTCAAATTTTTCACTGCATGTATGTAACAGTGTCTTCTCCTGGGCAAGCCAGGATGTTTTTTAGGCAAGGTACCTGCAGCATGGATCCGTTTCCTGCCTTCTGGGTGTGTAACCTCTTGCCCTAGCCGAGAACAACTGTCTGCACAAAATATCAGATATCTGTCCCTTCTGTTAAGATTCAAAGATGAATCTGTCCTCTATAGCCTTGTTTTAAAAAGCTAAGCAAAACAGCTTTGCACTGTTAAGGTAGGAATTATGACTTGGACTGAGTAGAAGGATTCATAGGGCATGTTTCTTAAAGATTTGTAGACTTCTCCTTTTTGCTTTTCCTTCCAGGATGAGTGCTAAAGGCTCTGTGCTTCTAGTTTAACCAGGTCAGAATCCATTGCTTTTGAAGCTTTCTAGGATTGCAAGTATTTCCTATTCAGGCAAAATTTAACAGGTTTTATGGGGTTTTTTTGTTTGTTTTTATCAAAATGGACAAAGCCTTCTGCTTTGCTCTCAATATGCAGTGAATCTCAGTGGAATATACAATAATGTACTTACCATTAACATGAGATAGCTAGGTTCAGCTTCTTGTACGTCTAATTCAGAGCAGGACCTTGAAGTTATTTGCCATCTAAGTTGTCATCTTGGATGAATGCTCTTACTGTCTGCCATTAGGCATTCTGATCTGGATATTATTTGTTTGCCTCGTTTTGAAGCTGTTCTGTGGTTCAGTGGTAAGGGGCCCTAGAGATCCAGAGAGTCTTATAGTCCTCAACATTTTTATTTTCCAGGCAGCAAAAGTAGTTTTATTCCATCCTGGATCCTGGGCAGTAGTAGAGGTTTGAGGATTCCTTTGTAATTGCAAAAAAGGATTTCAGCTTTTGAGTTACCTATTAACAATATTCAAGTTTGTTCTCTAAGTTAAATTAATTATTCATACACGTAGAAAAGATTTCAGAAGGGCATTAATGTCCATAAGTATTTAGATTTTCAGACCCCTTAGGTGGGGAAAGAAAATCTAGCAAATAAAATATAGTGATGTGAACCTTACAATTTGTACAGAGCTTCTATTGTTTTAGTTGAATAATGAAATTTTTCTTTCAAAGTTAGTGAGATATAAATGCTAGGTGTTGCCCGGTACAGAGATCACAGTGAAAGAAAATTCTAGCCTATGCTTTAACCATTAGAGTAACTCTCCTTCCCGGAAACGTGCTTAATTGCTAATTTCCATGTGCGAATATGAGAGAGTGCTGATATTTTGGTAGGTATAAACATTTGTCAGTGCATCTGTCACACCCACTTTTGGAAAGATGTGTGCCTTCATTTTGTTTTGATGCAATCAAGGAGCAAATTGTCTTCATTCCAGTTAATGCTGGGCTACTTTTTATTGTGGTACACTTTTAGATTTTACTTTAAAATATTTTAGAGTTCTCTGTCTTGTCACTATAGCGCTGAACAGCAAGTTGCAAACAAGCCTGAAATGTATTTCTTCTTTCCCTGATGTTGCCACGTTCTGTTCCTCAGGATGTTTTCTCTTTCTGTAATTCCTTTTCAGCTGCTGCACATAAAGTGTGATAACAATGAACATATCTTTCAAAGACCCTCTACTTTTTTATGGTGTAACAATGAGGATTCACCTCCTTATTTAGATATGTCTTCCATTACGCTTATTTCTAGGAGTTCTTCTGACTCTCGACTACCATCTGGATTGTTAATACCACCACCTTCAAAAAGTGGTCTTCAAAAGCCAGCCAGTGAATACAGCTACCTAAGACCTCATGTAATCCTGCTGTGCGAAAGCTTTTTTTTTTTAACCTTTTTTAGGCTTTCCTATGTTTTCTATTCTTTGACTTAATTGTGCATTTTGGACAGTGGTTAGAAGACAGATGAGACACATCTTAGATTCTCTCCTGGTTACAGATATGGAATTTGTAAAGTTTTGTTTCTGCATACCTCCCCCCCCCATCCCCAAACCAAAAATTCTTAGTTTCCAACTTTTAAAAATTAATCCATTAATGAATTACTTCTGTGTGTTATCTATCAATCTTTTCTTAAAATCATTACACTAAGAATAGGTATTCAAAGCAAACAATCTAAAGGTCTCGTTTGAATGGCTTTTCTTTTTCCTTGGATTAGTAGAAAAGCAGTTAGCCATTAAATATCTTTTAGTATACCTTCTAGAAACTGTGTGCAAAATGAAGGTTGAACATTATCCTTAAATGTGAAATATGCATTTTGTCTGCTTTTTCATAGCAATATGCTAATACTCTCAACTTTTTCTCTATTTGCAAGTAACATTTGGCTGTATTTGGCAAATGTCATGGCTTTCTGCATGTGTTCACTAAATGAAAATACTTCTTGTGCTCATACAGATTTAGAAATATAAATTTCTTAAAATAACTAAATTATATTTTTACCTAAGCTAGTTGTATCAGTAGGATCAAAACGTCCAGTAGCTTCAACAAAATGACACGTAAACAGAAAATGTCAATGAGAAGTTTCTTTTGCCAAAAAGACTCATTTAAGACTAAACATAAATACTGTTTGTTTATTTATCTAGCTTCTATATAGGCATAAACACTCCAGCAAATGCAGGAAGATCTACTGTCCCCAAGTTATTCTGGGATTATCCATCAACTTCAGTGGGAAGTACAGGCTAATACACAGCACGTACCTACTCTTACTGAACCCAGTCCCACATTCGTGATGCAGACAAAACCTATCTACACTCAGTTTTTCTATAAAGGATATCAAGTTCACTATAGGTTTATTTTGGGTCACAGCACGTACATCATCCCACTTTGAGTGGCGGCAGATGATCTCCAACTATCTCTTCCAGCTTGAACTATTCTGACTCTCTGAGGTTGATGGAAGTCCCATGAACTTAGTAATAAAAGCTTATTGTGTCTAAACAGTGTTCACTCAAATCCTCTCAGAAAAGACAATCTTTGAAATTCCTATGCTAACTCCTGTTGAATGCAGTAAGAGTAGTGCATGTGTATAAAAGTCTTATAGATCAGTTATTTTGTAAAGCAAATTCAGCTCTGATCTTGTAGGGAATAACATGGCTAAGAGAATTGTTTTTTAAATAGATTGAAATAAAAACAGCATGTGACATGTGGATTATGCTTGGCGCTTCAGTGTACCTAGATAGAAATATTCTAGGTTCTTGGAGATAATGAACAGTTGTAGATCTCTACTAATCCAAATTTCAAATATAAATTCAAAATTCCTATTAAAAAAAGTAATTTAATACTTCCTCATATAGTTTTGTTTTTAAGCACTATATTTAATGGAAGACCATGATCCATATCCGTTCCTTCTCTGCAGCCATTGCATCATCCAGAGAGAGGTAGTTCAAGGCTACCTATGGACTTGGCTTAGAAATTTGTGACACGCTTTCTGTGAAAGGATTGCTGCAGTAGCTGAAGCACAGACACTGAAGGAAGTAATATTCCAAAATAAGGTTTAGGCCCATGATACTGTCATGGATATTACTCTCATAATGATAAAGATTTGCAGTTTGCCAAGCTGTAGTTTCCAGGTATTATGCGTGAAAGAATGTCGACCAATTTAACCTGCGCTTAACTGTTCATGTGAGTGTTAGGGTCAAAGTGCATCTTTTTAAATGTAGCAGATTGTCCCTGTGCCTGGCAGTATAGTCTTTCTAATACCCAGAATATAGTATTTTATGTTGTTTAGGTACTAACATTAACGTGCAAACTAGTTTTGCGCATACGTTTTGCCTTGAGTTTGTCAGTCGAAGTTTTAATCTATTTCTTCTTCTGTTTTTAGTGTTGTTTGTTTTGACTTAACTGTGCCTTGTTTATGTCCTGGAGTAATAGACTGATGGCAGGAGGAGTGAATCATTAAATAAATATGTTTGTAGAACCATAGTAATTGTTGAGTAGGGGGTGGGAGGTATGAACTGGGACACAGTTTATCTAATATTTTTTGAAGCCTGCCAAAAGTCCCAGGCTTTACTAATAGAATCTGTTCTACTGCACATTCAAGGATGAGAAAGTTTTGATTTTTGTCTTCGGTATATTGCATTTCTAGGTTGATACTCAATAAAAATATACTGGAAGCTTTGGTCACAGCAATTTTCTTAGGTTGTCAAATAAGTGAATCATGTAAGGAAGAATCAGTAAAGCAGAAATACTAGGACTGTATCTTTTAATTTCAGCTACTGGTTCTGTGCATTCAGGGATATAGCGTATTGTTACTGCCTTGTTATCTTAAATGGGTCATGTGAACAATATTTCTATTCATACTTCTTTGTGGAATTTAGAACTGTCTCCAGTTTTTTCAGATTTAACTGGTACATTTCTGGCCATACCGCATGTACAGAAAAGGGAAAATTTACAATGCTGCTTATGTTTTGGAGAGTTTCAGCACGTTCATAGACTCTGGACTGCAAATGCTATTCACTTGGTGTCAGGAACTGGGTTTTGCATGCTGTTGGGTTTTTTATCTTTTTTTAAAACTGTCGCTCTTGTCTGCATGCTGAAGAATTCAGTATTGTGGTGGTTTTCATGTAAAATACTGCCCTAATACTTATTGTCCTTATTGTAGGCAGGCAATGTGACACCTAAATCACCCTCCACTGACATCTTTGATATGGTTCCCTTTTCTCCCATATCCCCTCAGTCATCAACACCTACTCGCAATGGCACGCAGCCTCCTCCAGTACCCAGTAGATCTGCAGAGATCAGTAAGTTTTATAACTGACCTAATTTTTGCTTACGTTATATTTTTTAATAAAACATCTGAAAAGATTTACATACGTTTTGCATGACAAGCCAAATACGTTTTTTGTAAGTCACGTTTGATAATGCCATTTTGTTTTATACCATCTTCCCCAAAGACTTTGATGTTGCTGTCAGTGACATTGTAAACTATTTATTTACTTGCTGAAAATATTATATTAACAGTTTAGAGGGAGTTTGGGGATTATAACTTGGCTTTTCTTTTAACAGCATTTTTCTTGTAGTTAATTCAGGAAATATTTTGACTTTCTGTTAGTTCTTCCATGTCAAGCCGCAGTTTTAGCGTCTGCGTTTCTGGGGGAGGCAGCAGGCGGAGTAAGTATGGTGAAATGATGCTGAAGGGAGAGCTGAAAAAAAAAAAAATCCCTGAAGTAGTAGTGTGTTGGAATAATAATTTTAGTACTGCTTTTCATATAATCTACAGATTTATTTTTCAGCTACAGTTGATGAGCCTCTCCAGATTTGTGGACCCCTTTTAAAAGTTCTGTAGCAGATGACTAGGAATAGCAAGTTTATATTCCAAAATAAAAGCTTCAAGGCAGTTAGGGAAAGGTTTTCATCTTCACTGGAGAACTTTTAGGAGTCCACGAATAAGTTCTAAAAGCTTCAGAAACCACTGAGTGGGGGATGGGAATGGGAGAAAACACAAGCAGTGTTAGAGGTTCTAGGATTATCAGTCTGCCCGTAGTATAGTCCACCTCTGATGCCTATTTTAGTATGGATAAGGAACATTGAAGTTAATGCCTGCCTCAGTGTAAGACCTCATTCTCAGAGTTTCTGCAGTCTGGGGAGGTACTGCTAGTACACGGAGTTTTCAGGTAAGGAGGAGAGCTGTGCGCAATTATAAAGACACATTGCAAAACTTCAGACAGTGTCTTCCCCAATGTGTTATGTAAACACCTTTCTTTCCATTGCTTGCAGTGCATGCCACCCTCTAAATAGAAAGTAGATTCCTAGGCTATTGATTCAATGTAAAATTCCTTCCTTTTTCAAGAGAAGACTTTAACTAAATTTAAATGAGTTTATGTGGGTTTCTCAGATATTATAGTAACAGAAGCAAAAATTAGTTTAACCTATTTTCTTTATGTTCTAGTAAGAAAAATTTTAATAGTTTTGTTTTTCTTAAACATGCTTTCAGATTTGTTCCTCTGAAACTTACAGACCTAGACATAAAATTATTGTCTGTGTATGTGTTCGACTTCAAAATTAGTAACTTGGAAAATAGGATATTTTTTTTCCAATTATATTAACTCTTATTCTACCTCTGCTTCTATTGAAATCAGTGCTAAAAATTCTCATGGACTTAAGTGAAAGTCAGCACTCAACACTGACCTTGAAAATTCCACCTTTGTAGGTTTTATTTGTTTAATCAGTGGGATTTGTATTATAGATAATACTATAAATAACTTATTTATTCACTGATATATGCTGTTTAGGAAGTGTTATATTTATTCTGCACTTTATTCATTTGCATTAAATTAATGTTCTCTAAGCATATGTGCAAGATTGATTCATCAACACCCTTTGGCATGTTTCAAAAATACAATTTGAAGCAAGAGATCAATATTTTATCATCAAACAGAGACTTACCATCTTAGATGAAAAAGTTCACATCCCATAAGAACTTCTTTCAAGCTGTGTAATATAACACTATTATAATAATGTACAATAATATGTTCTTTTATTTGTTGTTATTGCTGCCAGTACAGACAAGCTGACGTTTTTCTCCAATATAAGTGAAATGGATGGCAGCCAAGGGGAATTAGAATTTGGAGTATCCCCTTTTCTGAGGTCCTCTTTCATGTTCTTGTCTCTTTGCCACTGCACTTATCACTTGAGGGTTTTTTCAGTGCTTTTGATGAAGTTGTAGGATGATTTTTTTTTCCTGTTCTTTACCATTTTTATAACTTGGACCTTTATCGCATTCAGTAGTAAACAAGGAGAAAGATAAGGAGCAGATATGCCATCTTCTTTTCAGTGTCAATCTCAATTGCTCACTTCCTCTGAGCAACATATGTGGGATTCATCTGTCATCTAGGGATGACACTTGTGTTGCTCAAGCAAAACGTGCTTTTCAAGGCTGAAGTTCATCTTTCTTGTCAACAGGCTAGCTGGCAAATCATAACATAGCATGAAAGAAGCAAGTCCCTTTTTCAGGCAACCAGTAACAGCATCAAGTACTTTGAATTCTTCGAAGTGTTTCATAGGAGAAAATTGGCGTTTGGAGGACAATTTAGCTTTTCATAAATTAAAAAGTTCACATTTGACAATTTTGCTTTCCTCAGTTCCCCTTCAGGTATTTAGGGCTGAGCTTTAAGCTCCATAGTTGATCGTGTTAATTCTGACTTTCCTTATTTACAAATGGACCCTAGAGCTGACTAGAAAATTACAATTCCATTCAAGAAATATTTCAAAGTTACAACATTTCATTTTTAAAAAGTCTAAAAGACTTGTCCCAGAACATCTGGTTACTCAGTGAATCAGGCACTGGGATGTGGTAAAGTTCAAATTGCAGTACGCCTTAATTCAGCGTGTAATTTTGAAGCATATTTGAACATGTCCAATGCTATTATCGGTCTTTCTCTCATCAGAAGTTCCAGCTCTCCTTTGAGGCTCTTCCTAGGAAAAGCTTGATTAGACCACTGCGTTCTCATGGAAGAGTGAGTGTGGGCTGCTTAGAATAGGTGTGCGTGTATATGTATATATGTGTACATGTGCGCAGGCACACACAATCATATATAAATACATATATATGTATCTATATATATAACCCAACAAGCTATGTTAGACCCTCATGTTTTGCACCAAAAATTGGGGGTTATAACTGATGTCTTTTCCTTTGACTAGCTCTCTGCAAGTAGTTAAGAAACTTGACTTTCTAATTTTAATACTGGAAGAAGAGTGCAGCACTGGCCTTTTCTTGGAAAGATTATTATCTCTGGGAGATTTAAGCTTTTAAAAATGAGATAAGATTCCCAAAATTTCCAGTTTTTAGTCAACAGTATAGCAATATGGCTTCTCACTAAATGTCTGTTCGCTATTGGGTACCTTAGTAATACCAAATAGATTGTTTTTACTAAATGTCTGTTCGCTATTGGGTACCTTAGTAATACCAAATAGATTGTTTTTACCTAATCTAAAGAAAAAATTGCATGATTTTTAGACAGGGAGCTGCCTATCAAGCAAATACATGGCGTCCACATAAGTAATAATTGCAAAACAGTGATTCTTTCAAAAACAAAAACCTTTTCCAGAGTTATATCTCTACTCAAAATGTTCTGAAAATTACCTTTTAAAGCTAATTTTGTAGTCAGTAGCTTGCAGGCTAAACATAAACAGTGAAACCCAGTATAATAACTGCTCGATTGAAGAATTGACCGATGCATAGAGCAAACAAAAATGCAATGTTAAATGCCATGCAGCTGCTTCCTTCATGGAGTAAGAGACTGCAAACATGCTTATGGGTCCTCTTAAATTATGAAGAGGAATTAATTTTTATATTTCTTCTTGGCACAGCATTATTGTCATAGTTCAGAAGGACTGCGGGGAAAAACATTCTCTGTCAAACTCTTCAACGTTCATTTCACTCAAATGCATCTGCAATGATCCAAGGTCACAAGTGGTAAACTTGGAAATTGTTCCAAGATGCTGTCTTTCCAAAGATATTTATATGTCTGTTCCAGAATAATAGTGGAACCATTTTTTATGATGCAGTAATTCCAAAAAAAACAAATATGGAGTAGCCTGCAGATAAGGGAAAGGCTTCCTGGACTTCGCTACCCCAACTTATCCCAAATATTTTCTTGGGTGTTTTATCTTTAGTGTGATTAATTTTTATTTGTCATCACAGCTGCTCCAAGACATCTGGGGAAAGCATATATCAACATAACTCTATATCTGGAGGGTAGCTAAAGTAAAGAAGATTTCTGCTGCATTTTGTAGCCCAAAGTCAAATGTTTGTAGAATTTTGTTTGATTCTTGCTAGTTTTGAGTTTAATACGGAGCACAGGCTGCTACTCTCCAGTATTTCTTGTTTCTGCGCTGTTACTCTGTCCTGAGTGTCAGATAGGTCACAGGAACAAGCATTTATTACCTGTTCATGTCTTTCTGTGGTTTAAGTTATGGATGTGAAATGTTAGCAATTCATAGTTTTGAATTTTTTGGGTCAATTTCTAAAGCTGTGAATTTATTTGCATCCAGGAAGGAATGGAATTGGCTAGAATGAGGAAAAGGAAGTTACATATGTTGTTTGAGAGGGTCAGTTTCAAAGGCTTACTGGTTGCTATATACTGGAGAAAAACTTGTCTGTCTGTACTACAGCTATTTTGGAGACTATGCTAGGAAAGATAGTCTTGTTATGTTAAATATATCTTCATACAAATAATCTAGCATGAAATCAAAAAATTACTGATTTGTGCCATCTCCGTTGTGCCACAGTACCCCTCTGTACTGTGTGGTGAACACTAGCAGATAAGCCTGTAAAAATCCCATGCAACAGTGGAGCTTTTTAGTGACTAAATTTCAGTACTTATCCAGCTTCTGTTCAAACAAGAAACAGCATTGATGCTATTGAAAATGTGTCATGGAACTTCGTTCATCTGTGACTTTTAGCAGCGTAACCTCTCTTATATCCATTGACTTATTCAGCCTGTCTGCTGAAATGGTTACCAAGTTGTTATAGGGATAGTTCCCAAAATAATATTTTGTAGAAACCCAGCTATAGGAAATAGCTATCGGTTTGGAATTTGGTTGTCTACAGAGCTTATTAGGCTCAGTCACTTCAGTGTAAAGTCACTCTGTAGCTAATTTCAAAGTATGCCTTGAATAACAATATAAACAAAGGAATTGTCCACCTGAAAGCAGGTGAAATTAGAAGAGCTATTCCTTCTGCACTTCTCCTGCTACTGAGCTCAGAAATGTTGTCATTAGTAAAAGCCTAATAATTAGGCGTGAATGAGTAACTGTTCAGAATTATGTGCAAAATAATTGCTTTTAGAGATGGTGATATTTCAGTGCTAAGTAATGCAAGAGTTCTGTTCTTTACTGTTCTTTCATAAATACATTCCTTGAATGTTTGCTAAGGCTTGGTGTTGAAACTGGCTGCTTTTAGCTATCTGACCGCACAGGAAGCTGTCAGCTCCTTTTTAGGGTAAAAAGAAACCACGGAAAAAAGAAAGAAAAAATGTACCTACATGATGACAAATAGACTTAACAAGGATGTAAAGCATAATTACTTTCTCCCTGGTACAGGTTAGGTTGACCGTCAAAGCTGCTACAGATCAGAAGGTTACTAGGTAGGCAGCATCAGAGCATGTAAGGACACTGGCCATAGTGGAGCATTCCATTTTGTCTGTAAAAGAAGCAAGGGACCAGGCAGAGTCTAATTTGTATATTAGCTTCCTAGTCAAAGAGTTTTTTGCATGAAAGTGGTTTGCCTGTGCCAATAAAGATTAGACTTTTACAGACTCAGATGGGCTTTTGGAATAAGCCTCTCAGATCTGAGCCGTCTTCTATTCCCACGTGATAGTTTGTAGCTGTATAGCCAGTTTTTGAAGTATGTAATTAATAAAGTTCCTACTCGTTTCTGTACTTTATTATGAGAACAATAATAGCTGCTAATTCTTTAAAATGCAATACAATATTGTGCAATGCGGCCTGATAAAACTAACTGGTTAGGTCAAAGCCTATGGAGAATGTCATGAATGATAAAACATTGAAGAGCCTTGACTAGTGCAGGCCTAAAATTCAAGGATGCTAAAATAAATAGGCATTTAGCTATATACAAATTCTTTAGCATTAATAACAAGTGGTAACACTGCAATACGGATTCACTTAACTTAGAAAATACTTTGCAGCGTTCTATTTAGTGTCATATAGTCAATTATCAGCTTCCATCTCATGATGTTACAGGTAATTTTTGGGGCAAAAACACAACATCAAGTGGTAATTTCAAAGAGATTAATAGACCTTTTTACTCTCATGGTTTTAAGCTAACATAGCTTTAAGATAGGTAGTACACTCTCAGGTTTCCTGCTGGGCAAGCGTGCAGGTTAGGAGATACGGTATGGTTTTAATTTTCTCTCCAGTAATAACAAGGCTGTATTAACTTTGCTCTGCAATTGTTGCAGTCAGTGTGGTTGAACTTTGTTAGCAAAATGATTTTCATACTGGTTTAGGTCAATCCAATGTGGGCTAGTACAACTGTTTCTAGATAGCACTCTTACATGTAAGGAAAAAACTTCCTATTGCTGCAGAGACAGAAAAAAAAAAAAAAGATTACTTAGGCTAAAATGGCTAAATTTATACATTAAATTAAAATTAATGGCTAAAATAGGCTAAATGCTAGTTCCTAAACTAGCATTACAGTGTTCTAGTAAGGGAAAAAGGGAGGGTTCTTGGAGGGAATTCTTGTCCAGACAAAAACAAAAATAAAAACTCCCCCCTCCAAAAAGCACACTAGAATTAAGACAAAAGTGAAAGAGGTAAACTGTATGGTATTGACAAAGAAATTTTCAGTAATTCTATTTAAGGATCCAGGTTTAGTGGAATTCTAGGGTAAGTGACCTTTAATGATCTTCTGCTTTTCATTTTTTCTTTCTTGATTGTTAATCTCATCTAAGACTTAAACTGTAACAATTAGTTCTCGTTACTGCAAACTGTGCATTGAGGAACTCTGTCGAATGAAGGGCTTACCTTCCTTGAGTAAAGGTAGTTGTTTTTGCAGAGAAGTCCTTAACCTCATGGTGAGAAGTGGCAGACAGGGGACCTGAAGATTGGTTTGTTTGCAAGAATATGTTTCTGATATAACATTGAAGTGAAATTTCACAATTGATATACAGTTGTTCTCTCTTCATTTCTGAAAATCTCATATGTGCTGCTTCTAGAACCCATTTCAGTGGGAGATCTCTTACTTAAATTTGAACGACTTATCGGCTCCCTAAAATTCCTGTGGAAGGTAAAAGCATTAATGAAAACTAAATAGAAGCTTAAACAGAAGGTGATGGTGTTCTTGGAAAAATATTTGAGTGTTAACATTTGGAATGTTAATCTAGACCAAATTTAGATGTTTTTTCTTTTCAATTGATAACCCATTGCATGCTTAGATATGCTATTATTCAGCTTTTAAGGAGATGAGAGCTGTTGTCATAGACCATACCTTTTCTCTCAGTAACTCATTTTTCTGTTATTCCAGAGAGAGACCTTTTTGGAGCAGAACCTTTTGACCCTTTTAGCTGTGGAGCAGGAGATTTCCCTCCAGACATTCAGTCCAAACTAGATGAGATGCAGGTAACTATTGAGTTATCAATTATGTAGTTTTCCTTTGCCACATGAATATTTGGGAAATATATGTTTATAGTATGTTAAAAATATATTCGAGACTGCACACGCAAACAGAGAAAGGACTGCACACAGGGGAAAAAATGTTTTACTGACTTTGAAGTAGAATTGGAATTTGTCTGCCTGGGGATCCTTAAAAGTGTTAGTCCATGGTATTAATAGACAGCTGCACCAATTCAATGTTTCTCAGCAGCATAATCAAAATGGATACTGCTGCCCCTGCCTAGGAACTGATTGAATTGGAACAGAGAGCTGAGGCGAGAGCCCTACAAATAAATACACTGATCTTGTCACTGTTTGGTTCCAGCAACCATCACCACCCCATATGCCCTGATGTTTCCCTCAGTGGCAGCAATCTGAATCTCCATAGCATTGGCAGAGGCAAAGTAGGAGTAGAGTCATGACAATTTTCTGCTGCCTGTAAAAATAGCCTTCTTTGACCAAGGTACTCTGGGACACTAATGAGTGTCACTAAACTAAAGAGAACTGATCCAAACTTTCTCAGTTGATGTTTTTTCATGAGAAAATGTTAATTCTGAAATATCAGATACTGACCTGATCTTGAAGCAGTTCTAGGAGAAAGCCTTCAAGTTGTGGAGAAAGTCATCCTTTTCAGTCAGACTTTCCAAATTGTTAGTTCCTTGTCTGCTGGCCTATCTGCTTCTTCAGCAACCTACCAACAGAATGGAAGGCTGAAAATAATGGCAACTTGAATTCCTGGGATCCCAGCTCCTCACCAGGCCCTGTTCACAGGGCTTCCACATCTCTTGGATCTTGAGAGCTCAGAAAGTAGAAGCTCTCAGGCTCCTCAGATTCCTATCTTCCATGTGGAGAGCAGCAGAAATATTTTGAAATGGCTGAATTAAGGTTTAATTTCTGTTTATTCTCCCAAGCATAATTTTGAACTCCTATTCTCTATGGAGTTTCATTTTTCCATGCCAGTTTTAGGACAGCACCACCAGCAAATTCAGCTTAGACACGAATTTTAGTTTCTTGCTCACATGCGCTCTAGCCCACATAATTCACACAGTAAGTAAAAGCCAAAACCAGCTTTTCACTTTCATTAAAATTGCTTATGTTTTTTTGAATGCCGTAATGTTATTCCTAAGCTCTTTAGCACAAAGAAGGAAATCTTCTAGTACTTCACATTGATATATATGTATTCATTGTGTATAGATTATTGGAAGAAAAACTATACTATAGTATCTGTGGATACTCAAAAAGTCCTATGACTACAGGTAAATACCATGCAGTAAGGATTCTTATTACAGACAATGGTTTGACAAAATTTTACGCTGTTATGGTGTAACACATGCTAAATGCTATCACTTCATAAAACATCAGTGAGTGGAACGCTGGAAGGCTCTTTTATCAAAGGTTTTGAAGTCAAAGGCAACAGTCTATTCACTGTTTCTACGCTGGCCTAAAAAAACCCCAAACAAACAACAAAAAAACTCCAAACCCGCGGTCTTTACTATGACGTACTGAAAAGAATCTTGCATTGGTGAGGTATTCCCCCCTGCACACTTGTGTGTGTGTGTTAAAAACCCAACTTTCCTAGGTGCTTCCTATTCTAGTCTCATAGTTAGAGAGTCTGGCATACCCTGACACCTTTACTGAAAATTGGTTAGTGGGTCTTTGTGTCGGTACAAAACTCGCTCGTGTATAATCCAGTTGAGATCAAGGGTAAAGCTGATCAGATGTGAAAAATTCACTTCTGATTTTGGCCGAAGCAAAAACCATGTACAATTACCTATGGCATCCTTCCATCACTTTGTAAATCACCACTGCTAGATTTATTTGCCAGGTATGTATGAGTTCTTTCTGTAGATGATGTTAGTATGAATCAGTGGCAGTACATAATGCAAATTGAAACATGTTTTACTAATATCTCTTTTATCTTCCTATGCTTCCTTGGGCGCCTAGCGTCAGCGATGGTTGGTATACCGTATTTTAATAATGGTATTTAAAGTATTTACAATTAAAATGTGCATGTGTTCATGTCTGTGTGTGTATATATATTTTGTATGTGTATATATGTGTAATCTTCTAAGAGTTGTATTTTATGTATGCAATTCTATAAAGAAGGATTTTTTTTTAATACTGCAACTTTTATGGTAGGGGAAGCTGATTTTAGTTTTCTTTAGTCTGCTTTGTCAGCCCATAATATTAAGCCTTAGTTTTCATTGTTTTCCTTTTTCACTAGTGAAGTCTTAATATCCGGTTGTCGTTATCAGATTGTTAGTGAAATGGTCTTCGTGAACAATGACGTCCAATTTTGTATTTTAGAAACAAAACCTTTGCACAGATTTCTGTGCTAATGTGTTTGTAAATTTTTTAATTGAAAATATTTACAAGATTTGAGTCCACATGACTTGGTTATCATGAAATAACAAAAAAGTGGAGGTTCCCTGGGGGGCTATTTGAGGCTTATTTTTTCCAGTGAAAATGAGCTTTTCTCCTGCCTTGTAGAGACTAATCCTGTCTCTTAGTACAAAACTGTCATTTTCTTGGGTAACTAAAACTTTCAGTACTTGTATTAAATCACCTTGGAAGTAAAACAGTTCATACTTCATATTGTCTTTATGCAGGTATGAACATAGAAACAGGGCACTGTTTGGATGCACGCTTTGGAGCCATTCCTGTTCACACTCCTGTCTAGTGTCAGGGGATGGTCTTTTTCTGCATTCTCTGAACATCAGCAGATTTTAGATATTTTCTGACCAAATGAGAAGTTACTGTTGCCTGAACCTTTAAAGTACAGGAAGCCATGCCACTCGTGTTGTTTTAATGAGCAAGGAGTGTGTCATGCTGAGAATCATGTTATTGGAATATGAAATTCTGTATTTCACAAGGCAGAATATTTAAAATACTGCTTATTAAAATGAATGATACATATCTACAGTTCTTAGCATGAGTCAAGTGCTAACTATATATGTCATGTTTAAGAAAAGATATTCTGCCCATTAATCTAGTTTAATAGAAAAATGGTAAAGCATAGCTGATAATCTGTTCTTCTTCCCAGTCATTCCAACTGACATTGTTGTTTTTACAGCTGTGAATGCTGGGTTTTGGAGTGGAGAGTTTAAAGCAGGCATATGCTGTATCATGGATGTCATAATCATACAGCACCTTAAAATAGTAGCCAAAAGAACTGAGAGAAGCATGTAGTTTGGGTATATGAACTGTGTTCCTGAAAGTGGACATAAAGCTGTAATTGTTTGGCATTGCTTTAAGAACCTCAGTATAGGATGCTTGTTCTGTTATATACATTAATCACAATTCAACTGTGTCTCAGCATAAGAGACTCTTTGCTTACAAACTTTCTCTTCCTACAGCTTGGTTGACTACAGCTGGTTGGATTTTTTTAGTGTACCATGTTTTTGCCAAAATATAATTTTGCGGATTCTAAAATTATTTAAGAATTTGGCGTTAATTTGCAAAACTTGCTGTGGGAGATCTGAAGTCTGTGCTTTCTTGATCTGTAAGAATTTGATTGCAGTCATTTTGCAAAGGGGTCTGCTGGGCTAAGATGTTTTGAATTTCTCCTTTTTGAGTGCTGCATTTGATTTAATGGGAATACTGGCCTGGATGATACGGCTTTCCTCGTGTGTCCTGTTTTATACTCCTGTATGCTTTCCCTCCACCTGAATGCTCATGAAAAACCAACTTGGATTTGGCATTCCTTTAAAGTCTGAAAAACCTCAGATGGCTATCCAGATTGTCCTGCTGTATTTTCTGTGTGTTCAACCTTGTGATTGCCATGCTATTAACAACGGCAGTACCTGACCCTGTGATGTGATAGTGGGTTTTGTGTGGTTTAATAGGTGAACATTGAAATGTCATGTTTCTGTTAGACAGCTATATACATAAAGCCGTTTTTAAGCCTGCATGTATTAATAGTGTAGTTCCTGTGACAGTAGATGCTGCTTATAAATTCTGCCTATAATAGAAGCTGGATCCTTAGGCATGGTACTAATATATAGCACCTGGCAACTACATCGGTATTTTTCTTGTAGACCTGGAGGTAGTTCATTATGGTAATAAAGGGTAAAAGGCTTTTTAATAAATTTGATGCATATAGTGCAGCAATTTCTTTAATTGATTAACATTGATCACATTGAACATATGTGAAAATGTGATTGTTTTAAATGCAAAATGTAGAAGACAGCTTAAGAAGATCAGGAGCACTGAATGTGGGGGTAAGTGATCTGGAATGAGGTGGCAGAAGGAAAGGCTAAGGAGACCACTCTTTATCAAGAAAGTAGAAACAGTTCAGAGTGAAATCATACCAAAAGGAGCAGGTGATAAGGGACAAAACACCAGGTTGTATGGAATAAGTGAGGGGGAAAAAAAAAGTCACACATGATCAACATAGCAGCAATGAGATGTGAGTGCTTCCACAATGCAGAGATCAGATTTGCTTTTAGCCAGCCAGAACAGCAGCACTGGAAGTGCAGCTGCATAAGATACTAACCTGCAGTGCTCCAGATATATGGAGGAAGGCATAGGAGGCATGGTCAGTCACAGGGCTGGTACAGCTTTGAAATGGCTCTCTGTTAAACCAGTTGCTATATAGTCCTTGTGCCACTGCAACTGTGTAGCAGCTGTGTCGCATGTCCTCAAACTGAGGCACAAGCTACCCTTTTATACAACCTCAGCATTTCAGACCTACTGTAATTGAGGGGTTTATCCTTTATCAGTCAAAAATGTAGGGCTAATCCTGTGAATTCTATTCCTATGTAAGGAATCCTTCTTTGACTGAAGTTACATCAATTAAACTGTATTCTCTGGATAAGGGAACGGTTGTTCCCATGTAAAACAGGATGTATTTTACCTGCAACTTCAGATACTGTGTTTGCTTGAGCTATCTTCTGCATTGAATGCTGCTTTTGGTAGCTTTTCGAAAAATACAGAACAAAACATCAAATATGCCAGTGAGCTTTGGCAGCACCATGTCACCCAGGTAAGGCAAACTGGTTGCAAGCATACTTGGAAAAGGTTTACAGCTCAGTAGTGTTCTGGCTCGACATCTCATAGGATAAATCTGCTTTTAGGAAAATTCAGACTGCTTGGAAAATCTTGAGCCATTTGGTAATCATCTCCAAGAGATTTATTTTATTTCTCAGCATTATTCTCCTGATGGTAATTTCTGGTGGGATTATTAAACATTCATACACTTTTAAAATTCTAGCCTGTGGTTTAACTTTGTTCAAAATGAAGCTGATTTGACTTGTAATTTATCCTTTAAAGCTGAAAGGTATGCTTTTGAGGTGCTCCTATGCATTATGAGAAAAGGCTTGAGTTTAATCCCAGCAGAGATGACTACAAACGAATTTATTTTGTTTTACAAGATGTGTACATAAAAGCACACGTTTTGGATTTCATCACAAATGAGCAATGTTCTCTTAGGTAAACTGTGTGATATCACGGTGCTGAACTGAACACTGTGAAAGGTGCCACTGGAGTTGATGTTCTCGTGGCATTTCTGTGCAGAGCCCTTGTTTCCAATTGCATATAGTGTTACAATACTTTCACCTTTGAGTCGAGAAAATTTCAGTCTCTTGGATGACTTTTCTTTTGCAGGTCAAGCCACAGTTACATAGCTTCTTTTAAACAAAACACAAAAATAAGGAAACAAGAACGCTTTCCCTGTATTAAAAGGGATGTTGCAATTTTAGAACTGGTGCAAGCAAAGTACATTTTTAAATCAGAGCTACTGCTAATAAAACTAATGTGAGCAAATAAAGGAATTTTGATCTGACCTTTGTAAGAATTTATTTGAACTTTCTAATATCTATTGTATTTTTTTATGGAGTTACCTATCTTTGAAATTCATACTTTGTGCATTTGCAGTAAAGCAGGTATGATTTTATTGACCTTTTAACAAACTCAGATGACAGCAGGCTGTAGAGCATAGACCTGTCAATTTAACTGCACAGTGAACAGCTCAGAACAAACCTCAGATTTGGTTGAGTACTACTCTTATCTAAGTCTTTGAAGCATAAATATGATAAATTGTTTGCTCAGATGGGACTGATTTTTTCCTGCATATGATGTGTCAGTCATTGAATTTTACTCAGGAACAATGTGGACAACAACAAACAGGATAGTTTGTTTTTCTGTCAACTCATATATATGTATATCTAATATTTTTATTATTTAATATTTTCTTCACTTTTATATACCTATTTGGTTTTACTAGAGATACAGCTTTTTATGGGTTAATGACTAAGAGACATGTATTAAAAATCCGCTGACGAGTTAATGTAAATGTCTGTGATTCACTCTGAAACATCCTTATAAAGATGAGCTCGAGTTTAGGTCTTTGTTGAAAGAGAATAATCCTGTAGAAATTGCTTTCCCGTTTATTAACTCTATCTTGTTTCCTTGCAGGAGGGGTTCAAAATGGGATTAACTCTTGAAGGCACAGTGTTTTGTCTTGACCCACTAGACAGCAGGTGCTGATGGCAAGAAACTAAAAATGAAATTATCACACAGTGTTCTTTAATTCCAAACATGTATTCACAAATATTATCCACGTGCCAAAAATTGGTTTTCAACATATTAACTCTTGTAAGGTTTGCTTCTGTAAAATTTCAACTTAGTTCCAGTATTTCCCTGTACAAATGTAAAAAGTTGTACTTGTTTACAAAATATGAATTAAATTAGTGTTGTGTTTCTTTCTCTTATGCTTTAGCCTGAGTTTGCTACACTTTACGATTATTAGCCTGGGAAAGTTTTCAGAAAGCTCATACATACCTCTCTGTTAGTAGACATGCAAGCACGATTTTCACTTAATATTTCACATGGTGAAATTTTGAAATGAAATTCTTAAGCCATTATTTAATGTCCAGGCAGTAAGATCATTAATATCTAGTTTAAAAAAAAAATTTTGAATTGCAATGAAAGAGCATTAATATATGCTTAAAAGATTAATCTGGATGCCATGTAACTAAGTTCTATTGCTGTGTATAGTTAATATGCGATATATATGTTACTAGTTCATAAAATGCAGAAGATTTTTAGGTCTATAACTCACATTTTAGAAACTAACAAATTGTTAGTCTGTTATTGGCATTTAATGATGAGCATAGAAGGAATGCTGAATTGCAGAATAGACAAGTAATTGCCCACTGGTTTGGTTTTTTATACTTGAGCTGTAAAGTGTGTAATTTGGAATTCATTACATAATGATCATAACTTAAAAATAAGATTCTGATCTTGCAGTGACTTAGATTTTTGCAATTTTATGCATAAGACGACACTCTCTTTACTGGCATTATTCATGTAAGTTACTTCCAATACCTGAACATTTAAGTCTAGGTCTGTTGAATAATTTTTTCCACTGTCTGCTTTAATATTAAATGTCTTACTATAATTTAGAAGCTTGCTGCAAGAATTCAGTGTAAGTCTTTGATACCCGCTATAACTGATGTTACAGGAAAAAACTGCACACCAAAATTTTCAGCTGTTTGAGTTTAATGGTAACTTGTCTATGCATACTCTTCACTAATCTTTAACATAAGCAATAAAATGACATCTTACACTCATCCTAGAGAAGTATTATCATTAATGTTTTAATGCCCAATCTCCATATTAATTAAATTCAGTTCTTTGAAAACTGTCTTTTTAGATTTGGAAAAACAAGATTTCAGAGATTTTTTTGGATATTTTGTTTCCTTTTGAGGAGAGATTTTTTTGGTGATACTTAGGGTTTTGATCTTAGGGGCTACAGTTTACACAAAAAACGCATTTTGTAAATTTGCTTTTACACATGTATCTTTATGCCTTGTTCAACAAAGCACTTCCACATGTAAGTTGAAGTCCAATTAAATGAATGGCATTACTCCTTTGCTTAAAGTTTGACATACGCTCAAATACCTTGCTGAATGTGAGCCTTAATGTTCTACGTTGTTAGTCTTCCTCTTTTATTCTTTGTTCAGCATTCATATAGAGTATTATATATATATATATATATAAAAATCACTAACAAGTAGAATAGTATATGTTTCATAAAGAAAAGTCTTTATAATTGTTTGTCATATGGTATTTTGGAATTTGTATAATGAGGATGTTTAGTAGCTATAGCAATCGCCTTTTTTAACAAATAGAATTTGTATTTTTATTGTATTTTAAAAAGCTTTACATAATGAGCATATATTTAGTGGCCATTTATTATCAATGGTAACACAATACTAAGATAATATTTGCACATTTTAAGAAAACCTTTTCTTTACTGATTTGTATGATAGTTGACTGCAAATGGCATGGTTAAATATTACGTAACTGGCCAATCCGTACAGAAGTACTTAACACAACAGTGCATTTTTAATGTAAAGGTTAAGTGATTTGGTTGGAAATTGTATTTCTATGTAATTTCAAATGTCTGTTTAATTTTGCTAAAATAAATGTTTTTAAATAAATTGCATCCCTGAACATAACGTTCATTCAGCAAAACGCCCTGGGAGGGTGGGAAGTTATGTGAGTGTTGGGCAAGACCTAATATGAAAAGTGATTTAGTGCTGAAATACATCTCAATCACCTTATATACTGGAAAGAATCTGATCTTAACCAGTGTAAAACAGCTCCATTGTTTGACCTTTATTGTTGAGTATAGCCTAATCTGTAATTAGGAGAGAGCAACCTTGCTCCATATTTAGTACCTAATACTCCCATTTTCCTTCTTTCCCTGTCTCTCCACAGTATTTTGTGGACTTAATGGACTTTTTTATACTTAGCTACTTAAAAGACTTTAGCTGCTAAATGACCCCAGTGGTTATCTGAGGATTAAAGGAGGTACTAAAGTCTTCCTGAATCCTAGAAAGCAACCTCTGTAAATCAGACATGTTAATGGGACACATTGCACTGTATGGCGTTGATGCTTTGGAGGGCAGAAAACCACTCTTAAACAGTCTGATTATTTCCATTGCAAGAGTTCTGATCAAACAACTGCTCCAAACCCATCTAACTTCCACTTGCAGAAATGGCGCTTGGACAGTTAATGGAAATGAATGCTGTCAGTTCTAGCAAGAAATAGGTATGTAAAAGTGTATTAATATTTAAAGGATACATTTGAGAACAGCATGAAGGGTCTAGGTGGTTGCTCTTGCACTGAGTAGTTGGGAGCTTTCCCATTGCTGAAAACAGAATTTTGTCTTTGGAAGCTGCCTGGTAACAAATTCCTAGTTTCTCAATTATCTGTTTTAAAAGCATAGCCTGCAGAGCATCTAAGTATCTGCTTGTCTTTTAAAAAGGCGTGTGATAGCTAGTTTAAATTGAGAATTCAAAGTGATTCTGCTGTGTGACCTTGGGGATTTCACTTAACAGAAGCCACCTGTTTCTCAAGCCTATAAAAATGGCTAACATCATCTACTCTGTTAGAAGATATTGTGTTAAGTGATTTTTGAGCAAGAAAGTTCTGGACTTGTAAATTTGCTCTCCAAAAAAAATAAAATACCACTGCACCTGGGAACTACCTGATTTGTTCGCTCATTTATTTTTTCTTTTGGATGGCTTTTCTCCCCTGTCTTTTTTTGAACTATGATCACTCTACTGAACCGGCTGTGACCACATCACTTCCTGAATATGTGATACTGGATTTCAGTTCCATTTGTCAGCCAATTAGCTACTGCACTGATGTCTCTCCCCAAGTTAGATTAACACCTAGAAGCAAAATTCCTCAATTTCTTTTACTTTTCTTGTATGATGATGACCATTTTCTTCTCCTACCTGCTTCTTACATCGTAGCCAAGTAACTTAAGAAGCATATTAACCTAAAAACCTTAAGGCAAATAAGTTTATATCTGATTAGTTCTTTTCTCTTTTTCCCTGTCTGGAGTGTGTCTGGGAGGGAGGATGTTTTGTGTGTGTTTTTTTTTTTTAATCTTGCATGCAATTAGTGAGCATCACTACAGGATGTTGCCAGCTTAACCCATTTTCTTTACTTCAGATTGTTTGGTTTGTAAGTTGCTTTCTTTTATCCTTCTATGTGACAGATGTGATTTGTGCTAGATGTGCATATTTGATCAGCTCATTTGAATTGGCAAAGATCAATTTTTCATGTGGCAAGAAAAATTATATTTTATTTTGGCTTCATTTTTGGAAAGGAAGAAAGGAAAAAAAGTGCCTCAAGTCTTCTAACACTTCTAGAAGTAAGAATGATTATATAATCCCAATGGTGATTGTCCTTGCCAAGAAATGGAGTTGGCTCTGAGGCTTCATTATTATGATTATTTTTCAATTTGTTGAACTCAGCACTGTTTCATTCTCACCAGGAGACACTGCTTCACAAAAAGAGTCTCTCCTGCAAAGGAAAATTCTGCCAGTGCCTGAGAAATCTCTGGTTAAACATGCAGAGCCTTTCTTTTCATTGTATCCTGTCATTCATTATAGACTGACACCCTTTTGAGACAAGATGTATAAATAACTGAATCCATCCTCTCAATTTTCTTAATTTGGTATTTTGGGGATTTATTGTTGCTCTTTGGATAACAGGATGCAAGAGTTGCTCTTCAAAATCCGCCTAAATAACTGATCATGTTCTAAAATGCAGCCCAAAGTTCTTGCTCTGTAAGCTTCACCTAGAGAGAGCGGATAAGCTTTAGTAGATAATTAGCCAGCGTTTTTCCCCCTTTAAGGTAGATGTTCACTTTACTGAAAGACGGTGACACGTGTTCCGTTGTCAACTGAGAAAAGTACATAGTTCTCATCAACAAAATATATCATTTTATCCTATTATTTCAAAATGTTAGGCAACGTTTTGTCAAAATGTAAAGTCTGTGAATACATACAGCATTCTTGAGACGCTACAACATTCAGTGAGCGTCAGTGCATGGATTAAAGAAAGCTTGCATTTGTACACTTTCATGAGACCCAAAGACTTTCTGGAACTAAAGTACTCTTTCAGTGGATTTCGTGGACTTCACAAAATGTGTGTGTGATGGGGTAAAGATTTCTGAACTTATGAATATGCTATACACCTTTTGTGTTTAAGAAATTTCTTGAGAATCTAATTTATATGTAAATAATGCAGTGCAAGTTCAATCTCCAACAATGAGTTTTGGAATAGATTGAACCCTTATTTTAAGGCTCATATGAATGTTAGTGACAAGAGACACAGTGTTTTTGAGCTTTTACTGTCTCTTTTTTCCCACGCTTTTCAACATTTAGTTCAGGAAGGCCTATGCCTTAATAATGAAGAATAGGAGTGAAGTATAGAAGAAAGTTCAAAGGTCATCTTGTGCTAACATGCAGCACGTTAACATCATACATATTTTGTGAAACTTACTGATTTTATAGGACTCCTCTCTTTCTGCCATGGCAGTTTTTATGGCTGCCTCAAGGTTACACAAGGACTGCCAAGAAGCAGATTTGACATATTTGCAGTCCACAAGAACTGCTGTTAGAGCTATTTGAGCTAGCCATAAGCAATGAATGTTTTTCTTACTGCTTGTATTCTCATTACACAGAGCACGTTGCTCTCGGGGAGGCTCTTCCAAGATGCCTGCCCGTCACCAAGCTCCTATTTCTGTTCATTGGTCCTAATTTCCAGTATTTTGTACCATAATAAAGACCTAGGCAATATGCTTGTCTGATGAAGACTTCTAGAAGGAAAGTCCGAGCTAAAACATTGCAAACAAGTTCTAGCGAATTGTGCTTATTCCTATATTGATTGGAAAGCATGTAAACAAGAGTAAGGGTCATCTTTTAATTATAGAAGTGCCTTGTAAATGCCCATTAATAAATTGTTAACACAAAGAGCTTTCCCAAAACAGGAGTCTTGGAAGTGACCCTTAATAATTTTCATGAATACAGTTTACTTTGCAGCTTCATCCTACAGTCAGGGTCTTCTGACCAAAAAACAGCTGTCAGAAAATCAAGCATTTGTAAAGGCCAATTGGGGCTCTACTATGTGTGACAAGTTTTATTTCTTTCATGTATGAATGTACTGTGCAAGAGTTTTATTTTGTAAAAACAAGATATTTTCTGAAGTTCCTGCACAGAAACTAAAATGCACCTGTAAGTCTCTTGTAATATTTTCTTTAGGAAAATTAGGGATTCAAAAATCGAAAGGCTTCCTGTAATGAGAGTTGGAGAAAGTTGTTCTTACGTGCTTGCATACTAGCTGTAAGCTTCAACGCAAAAGGTCCTAAAGCAATATTAGTCTGGTGTAATGAGGCACAAAAGTAGCCTGTTTGAATTGGACCATCTTGAGCATGTTTCACTAAAAATAATGTTGTGTTTTCTCTAGGAATCTATACTTGTTCACTTTTGAAAACTTTACTGTGCATTTTAAATCCACTGATTTTCTTGTTTTTAAAAGGAAATTAATTTCATTGTTTTCAAATAAAAAGTTCCTTGATGTCATGGTAAAACTCTGAGAAAATACTTTATTCTGTGTGCTGTATTGGGACAAGATTGTAATGAAGATAGGTTCCTTAAGAAGTTGTATTTGAAAGGCCTTACTGTATTATAAAAAATCTTTTTCACACTTATCATTAATTCTTAAAGTACAGTAGAACAACATTATCCTTCATTTGTGTCTTGTTTTCCAGCCTTAAGGTTGGGAGTCTATACTAAAGTCTGTCCTACAATATGTTTAAGATTTGTTAGCATTCATTGTATATATTTCAGTAGTACTTGTAGATTGTCATAATATTTACACTATAAAAAGATCCTACAAGCTTGTGATCTATGGTAACAAAATCCATTGGTGTTGTAACAGGACAATGGGTTGATCTATACAACTGTAGTAGTATAATGACAATGATTTAACAGTCCTTAGACAATTTCAGTATTTTGTAACGGCTAAGTGTTATTTAAAAGTCAGATATATGTGATTAGAGACCTAAGTAAACCAAAAAAATGCCACTTGGCAGTACAATAAATAAGCCAGTAACATCACTAAAGCCTCATGAGTCATATAGCCAAACTGAATGTACTTAAAACTTAGGAGAGCAGGGATTGTTTTCTCAGGACCACAGATCGAGTCTCTCAGTAGACTCCCCTGTTAAAAAGTTGAATGCCATAGGAAAAAAGAAATTACCACAATAATCTAAACAGCTTTTGACCCTGATCCAGTGTATTGCTTTAGCTAAGTTTATGTTAAAATTGAACTAGAAACACAATCATCACCAGGAGTAATGCAGACTGCACACTGAGACAGTTCAACAATTCAGAAATAATAACATTACTTGTAAGAGGCGTTCTCCACTAAGCGTAAGAGAAGATTAACCGTATTATGACTTTATCAGTCCTATTTTAAAGTATGCCTGGAGGGTTCATGTTGATTCTTGGTCTGTTCCTAAGCAGATTTTATGATGACAGAAGACACTGGGAAGCAATGAGGAAGGTGATGCAAAATGCAAAAGCTAATACGGGTAAGATTATCAACAAGAAAAACCTTAATTTGCATAACAACACAGACCACAGAAAACGCTCCTGTGATGTTTCAGTGACCTGAGAAGAAAAAGAAATGTTGAGCACTTGTCAACTTATAACAGATTCAGAAAATGTGATTAAGGAATATCAGATGTCTAAAATACTGCTATATCATTTTATATTTGATATATATGTATAAATACAAAAAAATACACATATAGGTTTTATTTTTCATAAAAAACTTATCTGTGGATAAAGTGAATGTTTGCAATGTTGAAAGTGACATTGGTTTATCAATCTAATCGCATTAGAGCTGGAAAGCCAATTTCTGTTGCTCTATACATCACACTGTGTAGTATGTACATTGTGATGTGCAAATGAGTGTCCCGAATGCTTATTCTACAAAGATTGATGTCTCAAAATGCTGTTTTGGAAT